AAAAATAAATAAATAAATAATAAAAAAAATCCCAAAGCAGCTGCCAGCGATCGCGCCCAGCCCAGCGATCGTGGGGCACAGCCAGCGTGGGGCCGGGACCCCCCCGCGCAGCCGCTCCTCGCCGGCCCCACACGCGGGGCCAGATCCCCCGTGGCGTTCCTGGGGTGGAAGTGCCAAAGATTCCCTCCTCCCAGAGTCGTGAGCAGGTTCCCACCTCCTCCTGCCACCACGAAACGTCCCGCTGAGCGTGGAGGAGGAGGAGGGAGAAGAAAGCCCCCCCGAAGGTGGCCAAACCAAAAAGCAAACAGAATCCAAACGGCTCGTGTTTTAGTGGTTGACTTTAATTCTGCACTGCACTTTTACTACAAGAATATAAAGAATAAATAGCAGATACTCTTCATTTACATACGATTAAGTCATTCAAACTGTTCTATTTACAATAACATTGTGCTCTAGGCGTTTATTCTTTTTTTTTTTTTTAGTTTAAATCTAAAGTCCATACGGAAAAAGGAAAAAAACAAACAAACAAACAAAAAACGCACACAATTTCCGAATAATGGAAAATAGTTTTAAAACGTTTTCTTATCAAAAAGTTTGGTTTGTCTTTTTAAATCCTTGTATTAAAAAAAAAAAAATCAAAACAAAAAAGGACAAAAAACCTACTTCGCCAAAGCGAAGCAACTTCTCTCTGGAATATAAATACAAAAAAAACCCAAAACAAAACAAAAAAACCCATTAGCAACGATCAGGGTAATAGTCTTAAAAATACAGTAGACGCTGATTATTTCACGTATAATACTGACCTTTTAATAGTATATTAAAATGGTGCCATATATACACACAATATACATTCTCCTACACGTTACAGTGCATGACAACGTTAACCAGAAAGCAAATGTCTTTTATTTCTGTTGCAGCAAAGGTCCACGTGAGTCCGCTGGAGAAGGGGGGAGAGCAGGTAAGTGCCAGCCCTAGCAGGAGCACTTGCACTCCGAAATGATGGGGTACTGGATGGGTATCCATGTGCACCTCTGCCCCCCCCGGCGCTGGCACCTCCACCTCAGGATCGTTAAATGCACGGACTTGGCAGGTTTGCAAACCATGCCTTCGGGGACTGAACAAGACCTTTTACTGTAGCAGCTGCCCACTTTGACATACCGGGGCCAAAAGCGGCTGCCGAGATCGTTCCACGTGTATAGAACCGGGCAGAAGGTCTGGGACCAGAGCCACATCTGCAGCTTCCTGCGCAGCTTCTTGCTCAGCCTGTGCTTCTTGCCCGGCTGCAGCCCGTCGTAAAACTCCAGCCCTTTGATTTCGCTGGGCATCGCTCCCGAGGGTCTCTGCCTGAGCAGCAAGTCCAGCTCGGCCAGATCGTCCACTCCGAGCCGGTCCTCGGGCAAGGAAATAGCCATAAAGTTAGGGTCGAAGTGTCCGCCCATGAGGTTCCTTAGCAAGGTCTCGTTAAGATCCTTTTCCTTGGGGTCAAAGATAGGGTCCGGGTGCTCGATTAGATCCACCAAGGGCAAGTTGTCGCTGGGAGCCGGTCGGATGTGCAGATAGTGCTGGCAGGCGCCCTGCTCCAGCCGGAGCCCCAGCAGAACCACCAAGGCGTATATAGTCACAAGGCACTGGGAATGATCCATCCTTG